GTCTTCTCTCCAGCACTCCCCTATCATTTATCATTCAATCTTTCTTCCTTGTTGCCCTTGCTGACCTCTCGTGGCCCTAACTGCTACTTAACTTTCTATTTATTTTCCGGCTCCTAACAGATGATACAACAGGTTTTTCAAGATGGTGCACCATTTAGAAAAGACAAAGAGATTGTGATTGTGTAAGTGATAGGCATTCCTCATCCAACGGACAGTCTGGGAAAACTTGATAAACAATTACCAGTACTTCCTTTAAGATTGATCTTATCTCTATCAGTTGCTAAGATACACATTTTCAAATATTGAAAACCATTTCACAGCCGCTGTATATACTGTACGGTTTACTTAAAAAATACTACATCACCAAAGAGTCTTTAAACAATGCATTATGATTTACAATGATTTCTCCCAACCCAATTTCATAAGACATCAATACTTTGATTTCAGTTTGATCATAAGCATTTGTGGTGCTTTCCTTTGTAAAAACTAAATGTGCTTACATTGATTTGTGGTGACTTTTCAACCACTTACAGCTGAGTTGATGGATGATCTTGTTTTATGTTAAACCAATAACCCGTGATTTCAGATAACCCTACAGTTCTGTGTCTGAAGGTGAAAACTGGAGGAGCTAGTAACACAAATAGTTTTTATGTTTAACTTAAAAAACAACCAGCATTATGTATATTACGTTCTTGGCTAAATCAAGCTGTTTAGAATGGATTTAAAGGGTCCATCTTCCCACATTTCTAAATTAATTAATGGGTTTTGTAGAATGCTGTCCTTTACCAATCACATATTTTACATATTGAATTCATCAGACATATTTTCTGTAATCCAAAAATAATTTCATATAATCATTGGACTCGTCACTTGCAGGCTTCACCTGTATCCCAGTTAATAACTTGTTGTTCCTTTTCTTTTCAGCTGTGTTAACCTGATGACCCGAGCCCGGGCCTGGAGCTTGTTTTAGTGGGTGGGATTGTAACGGAACCCATAATGCAGCTGTAATTCTGAGCTCCAGCTGGTTATAGGCTCCGTTTCCATCCCATGATGCACAGGACATCCTGAGCACACCGCCGGAGTTAGAGCACTTTTCTATCAACAAGAAGGTTCCTCACAAATCATTGATCAAAGGAGATTACTCGGAATTTCTTAAATCAGTTAAACTTTATTGTTCTTTAGGGAAAAAAAACAATTGATTTATAACACTGGTAATGGTATAGAGAAGTATAAAAATATACATGCCTCAGTTGACTGAGTATAAAACCAAAACCAGTTTAGCTTATACCAGTCTACACATTCTGATGTAGATGGTTCAAAGTGAATTGGTTTTGTTTCTCTCAAACACAAAAGGAAAGTGAAATGAATACCATGGTCTCTGTTATATGCTGCTTTTCCATTTTGACCCGGATGTATAGGAGTGTAAAGACTGACTTTGAAGGTGCTTTTCCTCAATGACACGTTTTCTCCCGGATTGCTGAGAACAGGAAACGCAACCGGGAATTTCGTGTCAGCAAAGAATGACACCTATAGCACCAACTGCACATCATTTGGAATTCTCACTTTTTAAAGTGGACATTCCTTTTGTGTTTTCTGTATAATAACTCTAAATGTATATATCTTGTATTATTCTCCTTATGTTTGTTTAGTTATCGAGTACATTTCCCATTTAGCATTTATGATCTGTGCTACGTCACACTTTTCATTCACAAACTACTGAGGAGCTCTCTCTCGTTCTCTACATTGTAACAGTGGTGTGTATACATACCATATATATATATATATATATATATATTTAAATAGCTTACTCTGGTTTTCCCTTACTTTGGGCAGCACAGCTCAAATATGATATGATATTAATTGTTGACACAGAAATGCTTTCTTTAAATTCTGGTACATTATTTGAATGTAAAAACAAGCATGAAAAGGTCCCGTTGTTATCTTTATTGTTAGGATAGAGAAAGGTTTGCAGTATCACGGCTCTCCCTGGCCATATTTAAATCATCTGCTTCATCTGAATGTAAAATTGCATTGGAATTTATATTTAACATTATTTTTTAGGGGGAATGTTGTCATTAAATGTCTTTATTAAGTCCTTTGGTATTTTTAGCTACAGTCACTTTATAATGGTATCGTTTTAAGGTTAAATAAAATGATAAAAACACTACATTATATGAGCAGTGAGTCAGAGAGCATGACTGTAGTGTGTCCTGGATTTTTATTAGACACAACTGAGCAGAGTCCACGTTAAAGAGGACATGATCTCTGAACAATTCTGTTAAAATAAAAAATATGAGCGCTTAGGCACATCAGCTGGTGTTCCCTTCACCTGAATAACGCTCTCGAATGTCGCTCCCAAAGGAAGTGTCAGGGCAGTGAGGTGAAGGGAACCTCAACAGTATCCCGTCCACGAGTCCAGGGTGTCTCTCGTGGTTTCCTCAGCTGATCCTTTCATGCATGATCAGCTGACTCATCAGATTGTCGTGCATTTCCTTTTCATGGTCCATCAGCCTCTGCAGCCCGGCGTCCTCCACCACGAACACTCCTGAAAGCAGGGTTCATAATCAACGATGGTAACTGTCAGTGCCTTTTTACTTTCGCTTTTTTATCAGTAACATATTCAGTCTCTCTTCTTTGAAACTGTCACTGTTGGAGCAGTGTGAAAACTAATAAAGGCTGTTTTGTCAAGTGTTACACTGTTTCTGCTGTGTCTGATTGAGGTGTGTTTTCTATCATCATTACATTATCTGCTAAGACTTTCTGCAGAACCAGTATTTCTGATGGGTGGAAGAAGCAACTTTTCACATGACTTGGAGGAGGCATGATGACAAATGCTTCCTCATTCTGTGGCAGTTTGTGGCCACAGTGCTCAGTTTCAGATTATTTTACATCTTAAATGTGTGGGCTATTTTGTCTGACTATAAAGGGCAGTTTGGTAAATTTTGGGATGTACTGATGTGTTTGTTTTGGCCACAGCACAGTGTTTGCAGTTTCTACAGACACCACACAGATACTGATGCCGCAGCCAAAGCCCACCCCTACAGACCAAAAGGCTCCAGACTAAGTTTATGATGAACATTTGGAAAAGTTGTCCCTGTAGCCTTTTAAAATGTGTATAAATTATTTAAATATATATATTTGTTTATGGAAATGTTATTTGAATCGCGTCCACAGCAATGCACACGCAGAGAAATGTAGATTTTGAATTTGACCTATCCTAATATAAGATGCAGTGGGCATTTATTATATAAACGGCCACAGGGTACCAGTCCCCACTTTGATTTGGTTACTGGAACCAGTGACGCTCCAGTTCCCAAGCCAAGTTCTTATAATTATGTTTTCTTTCAATGTTTAATGTGATCTATACGTTTTGGACCTCAGGACCCTGCAGGTTTGCATTTTTCCTTAACACTTTAATGTACTGGTGTTGAAGGGCTGCATGTGTTCTGGTGGGCTGTACTGCTCCTCCTCATCTGCTACCTCCAATGTTCCCAGGTGCTTGTTGAGACCTGAGTGACACTCACCTAAAAGGGGCCATTCAAATCAAATCAAATCAAATCATGTTGTATTTATATAGCACATTTAAAAACAATTTTTGGTCGAGCAAAAGTGCTGTACATGCAATAAAAACACTTTACTACAATAGCAAACAGAAGACAATAATTTACAGCAACATCAATCACGACAACCTTAGAATAGTGATCTAAGGAGAAGATCAAGAGTGTAAATATTTGGGTCATTCCAGAATTGGAGGACATTTCATGTCCCCCATATAAAAAATCTAATAATCCATGCCCAAAAAGCTAAGACATGCACTTGTTGTGTTAAATATACTTGTCTTGAGACAAGATGCATATAAAGTTGTAGAAAAAGTGGTTTCAAAATATTATTTAAAATATCAAATAGCTCTCGAACACCCCCTAAAATTGCCCTTTTCTCTTTTTCCCAGCTTCTTGGTGACCAACTTGCATGTCAAATATAACATTTAAAATAGGGTTTTTATTTACTTTTTTTGGTATTATTCTATTGATTGTCTCTCGTAATGGTAAATCCATTTGTTAAATCATAAACACATTTTACTATTGTTAATATATGTTTAAATAACATTAATTTTGCACAGAAGGTGTGTCCCTCAACATGCGTGCAACCCTGTTACCGAAACCTTTTTAGCTTGGCAGAGGAAGTGAAAAAAGTGTTTGTCACATGACACAGTGGAAAGGACATCAGCAAGCCATATGCTACTACCATGGGTAGACCAAAACTAAGTCCTCTCTTTTATTTGTAATATATTTCCAATCTTGTCACTCTTGAAGGAGTTTGGCACTCATACAAACGCAACCCTGTTACTCACATTATGAGACTAAAACAAATTAATTTCAAATGTATCTTTCTTTAGTTAAATATCTAAGTGTGTCCATTCCTTGACAATAGCATTACATTGTGCAGCTAGCATTAATTCCTGAGGTAAAAGCAAACATTAGCATTGATTTTCAACCCTGTTACTATAATTAGAGTAACAGGGTTAATTCTTCATTGGAAAATATACATTTGATGCCTTAGCTGGGCAAATCACTTTTTTTGATGGTTTATTATCTGTTTTTCCTAAATACATAACACAAAATAACATGAAAGGTTCATTTTTCAAAAATGTTGGTGTCTAAATTGTCCTCCAATTCTGGAATGACCCATTTAGCATGTGGCCTGTAGATGTTTAACATTAAAATCATAATGATGAATTCAATTGAAGAGCAACATTAAAAATTAAAAAAGGAGAAAGGTTAGGTAGGCACATGATTACACAGGAAATATTGCTCAAACATAATACAGACAAGTGTGTGTCCATAAGCTTTTGACCATACAGTTACAGTTACTCTGCCACACACTGGAGGGCGCTATTAAGCATATTCCACTGGTCCGACACGGAAATTCACCTCGGAAGAAACACGGATTGCACTTCACTAGTTCCGCAAAGGAAGAAAAAAACATCCAATGCACAATGCAGTCCTTCTTCACAGCCGATATCTGACATCGATCAGCGGTTCCCCGTAGGGCTGTAACTGGCATGTTCAGCGGTGTTGGAGCTTAGTAAAGCCTGCATCACAGCGAGCAGTGACACCGGGTCTGAACGGAGGGTATGAGCAGGGTGTGGATGTGCTGATAGCCTGACAGTGGTAGCTCACCTGTTAGTGTTGCTGATGGAGAACACCGAGGAGTATTCGCCCCTCCGGATCACCCCGACCGTCCGGGCGCTGAGCTCCGCACTGCGGGGGAAACGAGAGGATGTCCTCGATGGCAGACGGGAAAACGGCGACAGGATCTTCCCTGAGACGGAGAAGCTATGGTTCAAGGAGAGCAGCGCTAAAAACCTCCGGAACCGGGACTTCTTGTCGCCGACCACGATGCTCAACACGCTGTATGCGGACGGGCAGGTTGGTTTGACTGATACCTGTTGGGTTTTCTAGTAACGTTATTATGAAAGGGTTTATTGTACAGTTTGTGGTGTTTAATACGTTTTATGTTAACGATATATTCACTGAAGGAGTCCTTTTTAAAAACCGCTTCATACCCATAGCCCTCTCATGAAACGCTAGCTGGTGTTAGACATAGCCATTAGCCAGTTGAAACTTGTCACGCTTTTAAACTGTATTCTTCCACTCAGCATTATAGTTCCCCTGGTGTTCGCTGTGGTGACGGTGTTTTTGTTTAGCGCATTAATATTTAAATGGACGGAAGGTGCTTTCACTGTTCGGAACGTGACCTGGCCAATAGGGGCTGGGAACCGGAACTATCTGCTTCATAACGCTCAGCTGAGTTCAGCTGACAGAAAAACATAACTGAATGCTGAATTGAATCCTTCAAATCCCCAAATGTTAATGTTTGAGTGGTACTGAGACAGCTGAATTGATCAGTGGCCGTTGACTTTGCCCCATCATGATCGACCAGACATGAACAGCCTGCGGCAGTAATTATTAACCCGTGAACTGCAGATGAAATATGGGTCAAACACGCATAGAGCTGCAAGCCAGAGAAGCAAGTCTAACTGTGCAGCAACATAAACACACGGGGGCCTCCATAGCTTGTTCGTGTCAGTCTTTCTCAAAATAGGACGCAACTAAGATTATGTCCCCTTATAAATACTAACAAATGTTTCTATGATGTATCAACATGTGACATCAACAACATCATGTTGTTGACATGTTGTCAACATGTATAATGATATAATAGAATTGAAGGGATGAAACCCTCTTTAATGGTCACACATGCAGAGCACACAGCACACACAGTGACATCTGTTCTCTGCTTTTAACCCATCCTATTACTAGGAGCAGATTTTATGCAGATGCCAACATCTGATATGTTTCCAGTGACATTGATATGCATCTCTATAAGATCATGAACAAAAATGCAAGGGGAAACGTTTTTTAGACAGGCACATCTATGTGAACTAAGGTTTTAAATGACATGCTAGTACAATATCCTCTTATGTCAGTTGCATGTATTTCACTGTATCAAACCACCTCTAGTTTGTATGCATATGCACACAAAAACCTTCTTTTAAATATATACATTTGGTGCTATACTTTATATTAGGCACCCTATCCTTTGTAATTCAATCATTACATGACTAGTGCTCTTATTGTGCTGATACATTTTTATTTCTGAGCTGAGCTGTTCTCTTGTCCAATACATTTAACTGTACTATTTACCATGTGTTGTGTCATTCTACATATGATTAGTTAACTAAAAGTGATAAACAATTACCTACAATTCATTTGTTCTCCTTCTCACATAAAGTTGAATTCATGCATGCATACATTAGTCTCTAATTACCTGCTATCTCCGTCCAGGTCCCTCCAGCAGTGATGTCCAGGGTCCTGTCCCTGCGTGGCAGTGGGGTTCTCCCTGTGGCCGGTGGGGAGGTAACGGGTGAGGGTCTGAGGGTGAGGGTGGACCGGGCCGCAGCCTTCAAAGCTGTCCTGGCACATGCAGCCACAAAGTACCTGAAGCCCTCGGGCCAGAGGCAGGGCTGTGTGGTGCTCAACTGCCCCGCGCTGCACCCTAAACCCAACACACCCACTCCTGACACACTGACCCTGGGCCAGCTGAGGACTGTTCTGTTGGCTGACCACATGGGGGCGCTGCTGAGAAGACAAGGGTAAGTCTACAGGTTAATCCCACATTTCTGAACTATCTTGTGCCTAAAACTTTAATTGTTTTACTCTATCAAGGGGTCTTTAAATTATGTTGTTTTTTCATTATCAACAAGAAAAAACCTTGTGTTTTGTTGCTTTAAAAAAATAGAAAATTGGTAATATCCACTTGGGATTGGGGATACACTTTTAGGCTTTGTTTCAATCTTTTCTTACTTATTAATGTTCATCAGTCAAATTAATTGTTCCATCATCTGTGTATAAAATATAAGTCTAATTATCAGCCATAGAAGGAAACCCCGCTTTAATCACTAAAAACCTCCTTACCTGTTCCAGATTGGCAGTGTCTTACTGCCCCACGCTTCCTGAAGACAGCGTCATCATCACCTTTCTCCGAGCCCTGGGCATCGATTGGCCGACAGCTCCAGCCAACTGGACCAATGAGGAGCGGGAGGAGAAGATTCAGGAGGCGCTGGAGAACTCCCCATACAAAGAGAGGGAAACAGAAAGAAGCAGGAGAACCAGCGGAGGAGGAGGCGGAGGAGGAGGCGGAGGAGGAGGCGGAGGCGGCGGCGGAGGAGGAGGAGGAGGAGGAGGAGGAGGGAGGAAGGCAGAGGAAGGGGAGAATGAGGGAGGCCTCAGGGTTAACCTGAAACGCGTGTTTCAGGAGGAGGGGCTGCTGGGATACGACCCCAGCATCGGTACCTGCACAGGTGAGGCCTCAAAGACATGTTTTCAACAAACAAGATATGACATATTTATTCATGAGCTTGTTTTTACCTTTGGGTAAAGCCAGGCTAACTGCTCCCCCTGCTTCAAGTCTTTATGCTGAGCTAAGCTAGTTGTTTCCAACTCTATATTTAAAGGTCCCCATAGTAGTTTCCTACTTCCTATGATGTTACAATCACTTTTAATAACCAAATGGAATTGTTTGTATCCTTAAGTGTCACGTGCTAATACCTTGATCCAAAAGACATTTGCAAACCAATTTTTTTTTAAACGTTGGTTTGCAAAGCACTGTTGACATCCATGTTTTAGAGCAAGTGTTTTTCTTGTACTGTGTATATTGGAGCATTACTGCCACCTATCAATCAGTGGAACTGTGTGAAATACTAGCAGAACAGTTTAACACGTCATCAAGATGGGTCCTCTTAATGGGTCCTTGTTCCTTTAACAACCAACATTTAACTACTACTTGGCACTCCTAGAGGTCAAAACTCCACCGTAAACATTTCAAATACAAATATGAGTTAAGTCCCTCAACTATGATAGAACGTTAATTAGTGTTATTCACAAAATGCTTAACTATTTCCTTCAAACCATTGGCAGTGTTACCATGCCTTTTAATAGAAGAGTAGCTAAACAGATAGTTGGCATTTAATGTTAACTGGTAGGACATGTTTGTGTATCTGTTCCAGTTCACAGAGACAGTGTTTCCCACCTGGCGCAGCTGGACCGAGCCACTGCCGACTGCACAGTAAGACACACTATGCACTTTCAAACACATTTTTTCTCATTAAAAATGACATAAAAACAAAGCATTGATTCATATGCCCTTGCTTCCTCTTCTATAGGTAGCCATGGCAACAGTGTTACATGTGACTTCCTGTCAGGATGAGTTCCGCCAGCAGCAGATAGCAGTGCTGTGGAGAGCCAGTGGAGCGACACACACACAGGTACATACACACACACACACACACACACACACACACACACACACACACACACACACACACACGCACGCACATCATGTATTGCCTTGTGTTCCTATCTTTACCTGCTCTTCTCTCTGTGTCTGCAGAGACATCTGGTGTGTGGGCCGGTGAAGACTCCTGGCTCTCACCTCACCGCTGCACAGTATCTGCAGTAAGTCACATCTCACTGTCTGCCTCCTCTCTTGTGTATTCTCAACGTTTCTGTCTCCTTCTATATGTCCTCTATATTCCCTCTGTCCTTTCTCCCTTTCGCCTCCTGTCTCCCTGTTATGCTCTCCAGGAGACAGAGGTTTATTATCACCAAACACTCTCACTAGGATCTCGTCTGCACTGTGACATTGCAGTTCTAATTAAACTCAATTAAAAGAACACTCGTTGGTGTTAATGGGGCTTTAAGAGATCTCCGTGATATCACGTAGTCATTTTCGCCCAGCTGTCTGTGTAAATGTCTAAAAAGCGCCTTGGTTTCCTCCCCTGCAGGCTGAGAAGAGGTCAGATGAAGGAGGCCTCAGAGATGAAGTATGGAGATCAAGTAGAAGGTGTGTATTTATGTACATCCTCTTTGTAATGTGCCTCATGAAGCAACTTTCTCCTAAATGTCTCTTATATCTTCTGTTGAGAGAGAGAAGTCGACTCCAGATACACAAAATGTCCTTAACTATACAAGTCTACTCTCACCATGATGAGCTAATAGATAAATCCTACTTGAACACAAATTAGGGGCGTGCGTGAGGAAAATACTTTAATAATCTGATCATTATAAAAACTCTAAAACACAAAATAAACAATGTTTTATGATATTTACGAGTTCTTTTATTCTTCTCAAATGTTTTGGACATTTTGTAGACCATGACATTAGAATCTTTGGGCCTTATCTTGGTAGGTGTGTTCCAGAAAACCTTGAAAAACTTGACCTAAGACATGATCAAAAATAAGAGGACATTTTATCGCTTCCTGCATGAGGGACATTTTTAATCATATGCTCCTCAGTTATCAAATTGAACTGACAGATGCTGAATATGAAATGAGTGTCCTGCACTGAAATGCAACCGCCTCCTCTGTGTCCTCTTGTAGGTCAGACGTGGGATGACATCATCAGGGTCATGACCTCTGCCACCGTCAGATTTGAGCTGCTGTCAACGGTCCACACCAGTCCCGTGAGTCATCATCAGCTGTGTGGTTGTGAAAAATGTAGTCATTCAATGTTATACACGTATTCACTGGAAAAGCACACATTCACTAGCACTAAGTTATTCTCTTGTATGTGCCACCTCCAATGATGGGTGCTAACATCAGACCATGCATTTAGCTGATGTGTATTTGTCAAAAACTGCCATATTGGTTCATTAGAATAAGGTCACTGATGACAATGTGCTCTGATTTCTTTATAAGTGGAGCCAGAATGATTGACAGCTGTCTGTTTAGGTGACACTGGACGTCCAGAGGGAAGGGGGCGTGTCCACCAAAGGGCCGAGAGGAGGAGTGTTTGTGATGTATAACTGCGCCAGACTGCACACTCTGTTCGACAGCTACGAGAGAGGGGTGGAGAAGGGTGAGTTATGCAAGAGATTCATGTTTCATTCCTCTGGTCAACAACGTGACAAACCTCTAACTCAGACTGCTGCGGCCTGGCAGCATTCACTTAGTCTAAGAATTTAAAAAGACATAGGCATACTTCATCAAATTTAAAATCAATATTTCAATTAAAAAGAATGAAGGCACAGCGAGAGTCATAAGAGTTCATCAGGAGTGTGATGATATGCTCTGATAAATCACAGGCTGAATGTATTGCTCTCTTGTAAAAGTGTTCTGTCGAGCACATTTGAAAGAAATCAATACAGACAATGAATGTGGTGAGCTAGTTCTATATTATCACTGTTAATAAAAAGAGACATCAAAGATTTGCTGCCACTTTGGTCCTGTAGGTAAACAGAGAAATGCAGGACAGTGGTGTCTTTTCATCAGTGGTCTTATTTCCTAACTTCCTATAGATGTTACAATGTTAGACAAATGATAGTTAATATACTTTTCTTATCATACAAGAAGATGTCTGTGAGAACTGCAGTCTAAAGCTGTTTTTGTTGCTTTGATCATGGCTATGGCTGAAATCATTTCCTAAAATATAGTAGTGTATTTACTATCTTACAATTTATTTGAGTGAAAAAAAAAGCATGTACACTGCTTTCTGGAGACAATTTGACACGTACAGTGCATCCCTGTGACAGTAGGGAAAGACCAGTGGTAAAAAAAAGTATCCAAGTCAAGTCATTCAACTACTACTAAGTAGTTATAGTAGGTTTTTCGTTGAGTTTTTTGTACTTTACTTAGTATTTTTGTATTCTGCTACCTTATATTTATACCCCACTACATTTCAGATGCAACTATTACACTTTTTTCCTCAGCGAGTTACTTTACAGACTCCAATTTATCTCAACCGATAAATGATGATGTAATATGATAAACTAAGATAAAACTATACATTAAGTGCCAACATAATTGAACGGGTGTGTTGGAGAGGCAGCCCAATAAAATATATCAATATTTTAGAATTTTATTTCATTTTAATAAAATAAAATATATAGCTCTGGAAAACAGACATTCCATTCCAGTGTCTGTTGAATGCCAACACAGAGAAATGTTGTCAGTAGTTTGTAGAATAAATAACAAAAGAATACATATACATAGTAAAACCACAGCAACTGATAATTTAGCATTGTTGAATTGTATCGTAGTCTATTTGTCATGTCGTGTTTCTGGCTGTTTACCTGCAGGTCTCTACCCAGAAATCCCTGACACCTCCAAGCTGGACTTCTCTGCTCTGAAAGAGGAGGTACCATGTTGTTTTATTAAAAATACGTTAAACTCTTCTCACTTTCCTCAGACACATTTCAGTGTTAATCCTTCCATGCTGTCTGTGTTTTGACTGACAGGGCGAGTGGCTTCTGCTGTTCAATTACCTCATTACATTCTCCGAGCAGCTGGACCAATCAGGACAAGCGTTAGACTGTGAAGGGGGAGGAGCCAGAGTCAACATTAAGACTGAACAGGTCAGGGGATTGAGATTCATTTACCACTAAACAAAGAGGGGCATTAAACCAAACGTGGCTGTTGTTATGTTTATTTATATACATTGATTTGTTTATCCATCATTATGTTTTTCTAACTCTTGTTTGTGTTCCTCAGATCTGTAAATTCCTCGTGTCTCTCAGTAAAGACTTCAGCTCGTACTACAACAGAGTCCATGTGCTGGGGGTGAGGATACATTTACGTTTGATCATTTATACACTGTTGTCAATAAACGTAGTCTTGTGCTTGTACAGTATATATATGATCGTGATTATTCACTGAAAGGGAATTATGAGCTCAGGAGATGTGAGTTTTGGTGAATATTACTATTTTTAATTTATATATTTATAAATACTTTTATAAACAATTTGAAATAGGAGTTTTTGTCCATGTTCCCTCACTGTTGAACAGAGATCAGTGTGCTATGTTCTGGTTATTTCATTGTGACTGACAAATGTAAACAATGTTGAAAAACAACCTACCAGTTGTATGTAGTATGAGTCGAGCTATTTGTTATGTTTTGTTCCTTTCACTCTTTCTAAATCTTGCTTTTGTGTTCAAATGTTCTCTTTCTTTAACCCACCCACACATTTCCTCTTCCCCTTGTCTTTCTGTCTCTCTCTCCAGGAGCCGCTGCCTCATCTGTTCAACCAGATGTTTTGTCGTCTGCATCTGTTGAGAGCGTTGAGAGAGCTCTACCACAGCGCTCTGGAGACCCTCAACCTCCCCCCCATCAGGCAACTATAGCCTGGACATGATTCTCTCTTCCTGGGATCTCTGCTGACCCTACCTCTTCACCTATCTCACTTAGACACACACACTCACATGTGTTTTGCAACTGTAGCTTCATCACGTACACACTTCCTTTAGCAATGAACATGTATTCAACTAAGACAATCCCTTATTTTGGCAACGTTACCGCTCAGTCTGTGGCTGTGACAGTCGAGTGTTATACAGGTGCCCACTATAAGAGATGAGACATATAAAGTACTCAAATATGACCCATGTGACGTAAGTAACCTCTCAATTGTTCAGCTTGAATTTCCTGGAAAATGTGAGCTGTATGTTGAAGTATCAGTTTCACATTTGAGGTTATGCTTTGTTTCTTACTGAGAGTTAGAGGAGATTATCACCACTCCAATGTCTGTACAGTAAATATGAAGCTACAGCCAGTTAGCTTAGCTAACGACCGCAAGCAGAGGGACAATCTCCAATATATAAGTTATATCTTGTATTTTTACAAAATCCAAGTATGACAAAAACATTATGCGTTTGACAAATGTATGACTGGGTATTTTGCAGGATGTTAATGGTCCCAGTCGATAAAACACATAACCGTATTGAAACTAGAATTGTTGTTTTACACTTTGGTTTTTGAACATTTTGGACAAGAATATAAAAAACTGACAATCATGTTGTCCATATTCACTGTACTTAAGAGAGTTGTATCAATCTTATCCTCTAACCCTCCATAACAAGGCTAAGTGTAGTTCCAAAATGTGAAAATATACATTTAAAACATACGTCTTGCCATTTGTATTAATTTCCAATTCTAACTAAAGGCTTTATTTTACCTTTCCAAAAATCTAATCAGGGTCAAATGTTTTAAGTAGGTTAGATTGAAACTAACAGTATTATACAATTTAAACGCCTCTACAATTTATATTTCTGAGAATGAAAAACATTTGTATTAATCATGACATTATGCATCGAAAAAATACTAGTTTAGGAGAATAAAAAATTTCCCAACTGTTAACGGTAAAATGTCATGACAAAGTCAGACAGGACATTTTAATATACTATAAATCAAGTTATTAAAGTATTGGGTTTAATTACATTAACAATTAGATTTAAACATAAGGAAATAATAACATTACTGGGTGCTTCACCTCATTTCAACTCTACACCTTGTTTCACTTAATTTGCCTCAATATGATCACAGTCCCCTATCAACTGTCACTTAGACATATGGGTGTCTTACTCACTGCCTGAAAAGAGTTGTTTTGCTTTTAATAAGCCTTGCTTTACTGTTAAAGGCCCCTTTCATGTACGTTATCCACCGTGTATTTATTAATGACACAAGATTATTTATTGTCATTTAGAAAATGGTACAGATCATATATTCTGCACATGAGTCTTACTTGCTGTGTTGATATGAGTATTCAAAGCCCTCCTATCCCTTTTACCCTGCTTGACAAATCACAGATGTTTAGTATCAATCCTCATACCAGATGTTATAGGTGTTCATCATTTAATGACAAAGACAGTACATTTAGGGCATCGTGCCATAACGTTAGGAAATGCATGAAATGGCATGAAAGTGATATATATGGAGAGTTTTATGCCAAAAATGTTATTTATACATTTTTCTTAATGACCTGAAATTGATCCTTGAATAATGTGAAATGTGTTGCCATTACCCACTGTCTGTTCAAATGTGCCATAACTTGTTTTAAAAGCTCTGCTATACATTATTTAGTAAGTTGGTGATTTTATTTTATTTTCTATTCATATTTCATGTTGGAACAAAACATACACAAGTCTGAAAAAGTCTTACTCCTCACTGCATGACAAGTTGTTTGACCCCTGCAAATGTAGCTCGTCTCTGAATGGTGTTTTTCATGCTTAGTTGTTTACATTTCTTTAGAAAAGGGACTTTCAATATGCGGATTTCTTTACAGTGACTGGCTTGATGACCACAGCTGTAATCGCCACAGTATTAAAGGGAATAAGCAGAATGAGGGATGTTTTCATACCCTATAGTGTCTCTGTAATATATATATATATATATATATATATATATATATATATATATATATATATATATATATATATATATATATTAGATACAGTATGCCATGTTTTCACCCTCAGGCCTCAACATCTTTGACCTTCTTCTCCTCCTCTCTGCTACCCTCGCTCCCATCTCTTTTATCTTTTGGTCCTGTGCTGTGTTTTATTCTCACATTCAGTCTAGATGCAGCTGGTTATTGAATTGCTTTCCTATCAAATTCTTCTTGTGTACATGATTACATTCTTGATGTGGAGACTTTTCAGCTGGAAACTAACCAAGATTACTAAAATCCTAGAGCATAAATAAGGCTTTTAAAGTAAGAATGAATTGCTCATCCAATACGGCTTTATAATGGATGTCTTCAGTTGTACTTATCTCCTTTTCAGTATTAAAATAAGTTACATTCTAAAGCATAGCCATGCACCAGCTGTTAACATTTCCATCTTCTGAGTATGTTCTTATCCTGAAAAATCTCCTCATAGCTTTCTGACCCCTAAGTGTGTATGCCCATCTCAATGTAAATGATAACTGCTACACACATCTGCCCGCCTACAGTTTCTGTGTCGTTCCTGTCTGCAGAATTAAAATAACCATGACAGACTCACCCGCTGTGTGTGTGTGTGTCTCTGAGAGATGTACATATGTTATTCTATAGATGAATCCCCTCATGCTCCACTAAAGCACACGGCCCGAGGCCACATACATCTAACAATAATACTACACATTTCATGGATATACAGTAGAGCTGTTAACAGTGATCCATCACTGGAGATATAACCCCGGTAATGTGACGTGCCATTTGTCTTTGCCCTTTTCTCCGTTTCCAGTCGTTCCTCTTGCCTGGAGTCCTGACTTCCTGTTTTCTTCTCTTTACTTCCAACTTTTTGACTCTATAAAAGTAAGGCAATTACTATGCTTCTTAATTTCAAATTGGGTGTGCTGACATTTCTGCTCAGATATATCGCATGGTAAACACATGTAATACTATGAGTTATCCTGTTGACTGCTGATTTTATTTCTCTCAGATGAAAGCATTATCCTACAGAGTTCTGCAGGACAAAGTGAGACACAGTTCTGATATTGTATTAATAAAACCCTCTGCTGACTTTGTAAATACCCACGCACGCTGCACGGTGTAGTTTGTTGGATCCTACTGCAGGTTTCTGTCCTCCATCTTTGTCTCTACCATCAATACTTTAGAGTGGTGTGTAATGCATATATCACACATGCTGTAATGCAACTTATTTCTTTCTTTAGTAAATCCGTATTAAAACAGCTGGTACTGCTGCATTCAAATTTGACATCCGTACTACTTTTATATGCAGTTGCAATCATGTGATTAGGAGTTAATGAAACATGATATCTAATGTATTTATGATGCCATCTGTTACCTGACTGTTGTTTTTCTTCTCATTTACCAGTTGATGGGGGGACATTACTCAAAAGCACAAACATTAGGGCTCAACCGATCAAGTTTATTTGGGTAAGTGCTTATTCAATATATAAAGCACACTTAACTTATATTTTAAATGTATTTCTTTACAAAACTGGAACAGTTTTATGTTTAAAATATGTCAATTAAATCAAAGACACACACAGGTGTTTCTCACCCACATCCTTCACCTAATCAGCATCCAAATTAAATCTCTACTTTCCCAGATATGCTAATTGCACACATGTGGGATCCATAAATGATTACTGATTACACTCACTGGTTGATTTGGTTGATCATTCTGATTGTGCACTGAAACTAAGAGTCATATCTTTGTGATTGTAATATTTGTATGGTAATAAGTGAAATAATTTGTTTTCTTTTAATGAACTGAAACACATCAGTTGATTGCCTTAATGCTAATGCCATTAGCGGAGAATTTAAGTTAAGGTTGCTAGCAGCAATTAGCATGTAGCCTGATAGGAGGCCATGCAGCCTGATAGGAGGCCATGCAGCCAAATACTGAAAGCATGGTTACTGAGTGTTATTGGTTCATGTCCACAGTAATTCCCAATTAGCTCAACTTCACAATGAAGGAATTCGTTTTTGTAATTATCCATTAAAAAAAGATCATTACAAGCAACTTAAAATAAAATGGGGCCTGATTATGCTGTAGTGGGATCTTTCTTGAAATGGTAATTAATGAATACGATAAATGTGTGTGTGTGTGTGTGTGTGTGTGTGTGTGTGTGTGTGTGTGTGTGTGTGTGTGTGGTGTGTGTGTGTGTGTGTGTGGTGTGTGTGTGTGTGTGTGTGTGTGTGTGTGTGTGTGTGTGTGTGTGTGTGTGTGTGTGTGTGTGTGTGTGATTTGGTTGTTGTTGGAGGCCAAGTTTGTAGCTAATTGTTTTTACTTCGTCTCAGTGGAAAATCGTTAATGTTGACCTCTACATTAATGATTTGAATTGTCTGCCTAGTTTATGTAAAACCACAATATTCCACATATTCAATTAAGGTTCATGTACCTTGCACAGAATTACTTCTTTGTATTCCTCTCTGTATATGTTTATAATCAGTGTCCTATAGTACCAGTATGTTGCCCACATAATGTTTTTGAGAACATATTACTCTCTTGATTTATGAAGGTTCCCCAGACAAGACATACCGTGCACCTGTTCTCGCTCTCAGCTTCTTCCTCTTCATTACTTCTGGCATTTCTTCCAGAGAAAGTCAGGAGAGTGAGAGATGGTCCAATTTCAGCTCGTATTACATTTTCCCGGAAAGATAGCACACAGGGATTATGTGTTAAAACAGAATAACCAGACCACTGTTAGATTTCATTTGAAATAATGGTATGAATGCCTGACATTTACAACCCTAAACGGCGGCCGATAGATGTGGTGAGCCCAGTTTAATGATGTGTTTCCTCCTTCCTACAACCTGTCCTGACCTACAGTAATGAGCTGCAGTCCGCTGTATCGCTCTGTTATCGACTGGATGTCCTTACGTGAGCACACAGGCACACACACCCTGCAAAATATAGACAGGAAAATCACATGTAGGTTTAAAAATAGCCATACGAGTTAGCAGGTAGAAAAGATACTATATTTTATAAGAAAGAAGGTCATCAGTCAGACTCTTGTGACCTATTTGAAGCTTCTTTGAGCATTAGGAAAATCCCATGTAATATTATTATTATTATTATTTTGAATAATAGTCCTGTGAAGAGCTGTAGACTTACATTCAATTCAACTGAAGGTCGAATGTTTTGCACTCTCTAAAATGAGAATCTATACCACGAAGAAAGGTGGTGTAAAATGACTGGGGGTCTAGTTCCACATCAGTCAGACTATATTTAGGGAGGCAGAACAACAGATTGACATTGCAAATATAAGTAGAATAAATCACTATTACTACAGCTTTTGGAGGAACATGTCCAGATGTCTTGTCATTTCAATGGTGCATCTGTGCACACAGATGCATGAGCCAGGTTAAAGAGGTCACTGTTACACGTTTTCATTCGGGGAATCATCTGCTCCCGGTTCTGTTGTGTAATAACACCAACACAGCTGCTTTGTTTTTTGCTCACTCTTCTGCATATTTACTCGAGTTATATTCACGATGAATATTCAACCGTCAAGCATGACTGCACAGAACATTCTCTCCATTTTTCTTCACTTTATATTATATAATAATAATTTATATATATTCTAAAAAGGATGTTTGTGTATATTATGTAAACACGTGCCTCACATGAGCACGCACTGTACTTTTCATGCGTGTGCCTTTTCTAGGGATGAAATATTCCATATTACTGAAAACTCCTGACATTAAACACAGCTGTCGAGAAGGCATATGTGAGCATCTGATGTATTCTCACTGCAGCGCAGCATTATCACCACACGGTGGCGATGTTTGGACAGTTTTTCAATCATTGTCACCCATGTGCTCCTGAATTTACAGTAGTCAGACACACTGCAAAAAAGCATGAGCTGTAAAGGCGATGAACAGCTGTAAATTATAGGTCAAACGATGCCTTTAAATCAGTTAAAAATTACATGTTATATAATATATGACTATATATTTTATTATGAGTGCAGATTTTTGGTAAAAATGTTTACTTATCACGATTACAATATATTATAATTTTGGTAAAAACAGAAGCATGGTGTCCATAAAAAATGTGACTTTTTAATCAACCCTCTTCTTCTTTGGTGTGTCAAATTGAAGGACACATGAAGAAGAAGCTAAATATGAGCATCAGCTTTCCAAACATGAACTGCTGTCTGCCAGATGTCCACATCTGTCTCTTCAGTCCCACAAACACTCTGGTTTTAGGGTTGTTTCCTATTGTCTGTTATGTCATCAGTTCTCACTAACTACATCGCAGCTGCTTTAAAAGATGTCTCTTTTTCAATAGTGTTTTCTGGCTGTATATTTGTCAAAATACACCAAATGTATTTTATATGATCACATTCAGTTGTGTTAATATCAGTCAGTGAGCAAGTTTTATTTTAAACTATATATTGCTGAACTAAACAAGTTATAAATTATGAATCGGACAATCTTAAAGTAACATTGGCCTTTACGTTTGACCACCAACATGGAATTTGATTCTTTAGTCCTAGTGGTTGTTTGTGCCGTTAACAGGAAACAAGAACAGAAAAGCCTGTAATGGTTTCCAAGTGTTTCAGGCCTGATTATTTATTCCAATACTTCTCCTCTGTTTGAACTGACCTGTAGGGGATATCTACTTCAAATATATGTTTGTGTTATTGGTAAAACTACTTCCTTGTTCATCAGTTTGCCGTCTATATTTTGAAATGGGATTGTTTTCACCAACACTTCAAACTACAGCGGTAAACCTTGCTGACTCCAGACTTCAAATGTTATGTGATGTGAATTCTCCCTCAACCGGAGCACAAGATAAATTACAATGAATCTTTTTTTGCAGTGCAGTCAGGGCAGGTCCAGGAGGCTTTATCCTTTTCATCTCCCTCACCGCCAATCAGAAA